CTGACTTGTCATCAATCGCAAAACTTAAAAAAAAAAAAAAAGTTGACAGCAAGTCATCTTCTTCATATCAAAAGCAAAAAAAAAAAATTCTGCCTCAGGTGCGCCGGCCTGCCATTATCCCACGCACACGAGCTTTTTGGTATAAGCCCGTGATTTTCTTAGAAGCTTTTTAGATTTTTTTATTTTTATTTTTGTTCAATGACATACTTTAATATCAGACTTTATTGAATTTTATTATTTGATATTAAATTAATTATAAAGTATTAAATTTTTATATTTTCTTATGTTTTTATAATATAATAAAATAAAATAATTAATTAATCAAATGAAATTCATAATTTAAGTTATGAATTTAACAAGTTGGCTAGAATAAACCTGATTTTTTGACTTTTTTTTCCTTTAACTTTTTACTTTTAATATATTAAGTCGATAATGTCATGCTAAGATAATTTTCATAATATAATTTAAGTTAAAACTTAAATCAAGATTTTTCACTTTTAAATTATTATACTGAGTTTAATTACAATGCTAAAAAATTAATAATTTTAATATTACTAATTTACATTCCAAAAATATTAATAAAAAAAAATTTGGGCAATAAACTAGTAAACTTCTAATTTAAACTAGTGTGAAGCTAGGATAAATATATAACCTTTTATAGTTAAAAATAATGTTTGTGTTGATTGTTTTCTTTCTTTTCTTATGGGGTATTTATGGATAATTCTTTTTTCTCTTGTATAGTAATACTAAATATCTCCAATTAAATCTAAAGTAAACTATAAATCCACACTTGAATTGGAGTGTTCATAAGAAAAAAAATTTCATATTTATTTATTTTTCTATTCAAACCTAAATATAATTACATATAAATATCCAAATCTTTAATTTTATAAATTATATCAAAATTAAACCTGGTATGTAAATCTTGTTGGCAAGCCTTGAATTGACAATTGGAATTCACCATACATCAAAATGTTAGCAATATCTTTATAACTCAAAGGCTTAATTGGCAAATAGAGCTCAAGAAACCTCACCATATATGAAAGCATTTATGTTCTTATTGTAAAATTGAAAATGATTGTGATACACACATTTAATCATCTTTTTGTATTTGATTATTATCATATACCCAAACTTGGAGAAGTTCTTTAATCATAGAGCTATTTTTAACCAATATTCACATACTAATATATATCAGTTTTTGAGAACTAAATTTAAAGAATATTTATAATTCAGAAAGAATGTGTTAAATGAAAAACATAGTATTTGATTATTGTTTAAAAAAAGACTGAGATAAGAATATAATAAACATATCTTTGTGTCATTTATGTTATGAAAAATAAAAGTTTATTTCAAAATTGTATAAAAAAAATTTATGTATTATCTTTTTTTCCTAACCAAATATATTTATATTTGTTTATGTACTTTTATTATAAAACACTAATCAAACTACTATTATAGCCATTTAGACTATGAAAAGTAAATTTGAAAGATATTTACCATATAAATAGCAAATTTCTGATTCAAAATCTTTACAAGATTTCTAATTTGTCTTAAACAGGCCATTGAAACTCAGTTTTTCACTCAAGACAAATATTAATTAAATCATTTTGGCCTAAGTTATCTCTAGTTTATAATTGAAAGTTTTAACCAAATGCTAGCAAAGAACTTGAAAGTTATAGAAAAATAATTAAGTTTCAAAAACTTATTATTTTAACAATTTTTTGTTTATGTTTAATTAATATTAATGGTAATGGTATTTCGAATTAAGAAAATTTCACCTCCGTTTGAATCTTAATCAAATTATTTACATTGAACTTGAATTTTTATTAAAAAATATATATATTCTTGCATTATGAGAGAATTTCATCCTTCCATTGTGTTAATATTGTTCTAGTAGTACTCTAATTTTTAAAATTAATTAATTGGGTGTGTATTTATGTTGTCCATAGTGCAGTTTGGAACATCTAAAGATATTTTATAAAAATAGTTTCATAATACACTTTGTAAGAAACAAGTTTTCATTACTAAAATCAAATCTATTATTGATGGGGGAAATCAAATATTTTTTTCTTCTACTTGTTATTTGATCTTGCTCCTATGGGCTAATTAAAACAATAGTAAAAATATTTGTTCTAATTGTTTTTATGAGGCTAGTTTGTTGCCCTTAAGACCTCCCGGGAAAGGTGACATCCCTAGTCATTGAAGTGCTCCCGTCAAGATCTCCACGCACACGGAGATGAAGTAAGGATGCATTTCTGCCAGTAGGAGGATCCATTTTGCCTTTGAATGCTGGATTATCTAAAATAAATGTCTTAAGTGCATTCATCACGTGAATCTTTTCAGTCTTTGGATCTCCATAGCTACGAAGCGCTCCATGTTTCCTATATTAAAAACCAGTCAAGAATAATTAAACTTTTATCAATGTAGTAAACATAAGATAATGCTGTAAGAACATTTTTCTAGAAATTATTTTCATAGAACTTTTTGGTAAGATATTATTTTCTTAGTAAATTAGCATTGTTCATAAACATATAGATTATAAGTCATATATAACAGTGTAGAATTCACATCTAAAATCATCCATTGTTAGCAGTATGGTAGCATCTTTGAACAATCTTTCATTATACCTTGAGAAATCTTGTAATTCCTTCATGAGAATATCAAGAGCCTTTGGACGATCTTTCCTGTCACATATGTAATCCTCTATAGTTATTTACATGAATGGTTTAATCAAATTTGAATAAGCTAAAAAATTAAGAAAATGTAATCCTCTATAGTTATTTACATGAATGGCTTAATCAAAATTGAATAAGCTAAAAAATTAAGAAAATGACACATGGCTTGCTATAATATTATTAAACTCGGCCCAATATAATTGGTCAATATAGACCATAGTCAAGGTGATGTTTTAAAAAATCCAAGTGAAAATTAATCTGATATGACTCAATCAACATAATAAGTATTAAGTCAACTTATGATATAATTTTAATTTACTCGAGTCAATATTTATTAATTTATTCAATCTTTGATCGAGTTTTTAACTGAATCGAGTTAAATAACTTTGGTTTACTATACTATACGTGTATTACATATAAGTCAATAATATCATCAGTTGAGAGTGTCATTAATTAGTATTTCTTAATTTGACATAAAATCTAGAGTTTTAATACCTGTCTAATGCTTCAAGAAATTTTTGTTTCCTTAGTTCAAAAAAGATCTTGGTAGAATCCAAGTTATCATGCATATCAGTAAAATCAAATAAATACTTCTCAGCTTCATCGAATTTTCCTCCAAGCACCATTATCTCAAAATGCTTAGCATCAAAGAATATTCCTGTCTCACGCTCAAGACTACACATAATCAATGAAAAATATTAGTAATATTAGAAAAAAATAAAAAAAGAAATCCAAGTCTAGCTTATGTAATAATTTTCTTTTTTTTTGGTGGAATAGCAAGGAAAGAAAAACCTACGCATGAGCAGTGTCTTGGAGATTCTCATACTTAAGGAACTGTAGGATTGTTGACAAAAGATCTTTATGGATAGGACTCATGGCTAAACTTGCACCAAAAGACATGGTAGAAGGGGAAGATCTAACAATATATATATATATATATATATATATATATATATATATATCAAAAATAGAGAATTTGAGGAACACTCTTTTTTTTTATCAAAATTATTAGAGGGCTTTCTCTCTGGTTCGTATAAACGAAACATCTTGCAACCATG